ATCATCAATACAGGTGCATACTTTTAGGGCGCATCGTGTTATTGTGGCAGCGCGATGTGAATGGTTTAAGAAGGCTCTAATGTCCGGCATGCAAGAGAGTTTGACAAGGTAATTCAGATATTTGCTAATTATAAAATATGGAAAATAAAAAATGTTGCTTTTGTTGTTTTTTAGAAAAATAATTGTCACCGATTGTTCACCGGTCATTTTCCGACGCCTATTGTTGTATCTATATGGTGCACCAATTGACAAGACTGTGGGTCCTGAACATATCTGTGAATTAATGCTATTGGCTGATAAATATTCCATAGATGACTTAAAGGTACTTTTAACTAATATTTCAACTATAATTGAATTGTATTAATAATATATGGTTTGTTCCAGAACCTGCAAGAATGTTCAACTTTTTTACTACGATAACATTTTTTACTTTATGATATCGGAAAAAATACTAAAAATTAGTAGATTCGTGCAGTACGGGACCAGAATGATAATAAGCTATAAAATTTTAATAATATTGTTTTCATTTTTTCAGGAATTGTGCGAAAATACTTTAAATTCTCAAATAGATGAACATTCGGTATTATGCCTGTTGGGTATTGCCGATCATTATATGGCCTCGGCATTGAAATCCAAGTGTCTTTCATTTCTATCACAAAATTCACATTTAACAAAGGCTGCTATGTTTAAGGAATTGTCACGGCCGTTGCAAGTAAGTGATGAGTAGTTTTCTTAAAAAAAATATCAGTGGCGTAGAGAAGTGGGGATGTTTTAAAAATGTGTGAAAAACAATTAAAAATGACTTTATTCGATGTAAGTGAAAAATATCAATGAGGTATAAAAGGAGTTGTGCATCATTGCCGAATACATTCAGTTTCTCTTATATTTAATTCTAAGCTTTATTCGAAAACCCATAATATTGGAATTATTTGAAAGTGTTTAATAAGTGAAAATCTTAAAAATACTCATCATATTTATTTATATATTGTAGACATCCCCACAAACAGTTTGTTGCTACGCTCCTGAAAAAAACTATTATTTTACAATTTTGTATATTAATATGTTTCCTTTTTTCAGCTCGAAGTTATGGACCTAATCCATTGGTATGGTCGTGTATCTGAGCCATGGTCAGATACGGGTGGCTTCAAACCGCGCAGTACTTCCCGACACAGTCTCAAGAGCCCTTCAAAGCCCCGTTCACGTTCTAGAAAATCATCACCATCCTTTATGTGACACTGACTTTTAAGGCTTAGGGGAAATTAAATTTAAGGTAACCGAAAAATAGAAATCAAAGCACGATACTCTAGATAATTTTTTGAAATTAATTGTAAGTGGAGTGACGGCAGGATTGGAACACTTGCAAAGCGTGAAGATTAAACATTCAGTAAGTTACTTTCTTTGAATAAGAAAAAAATATTTTTATAACATGTGCCTCATTGATATATTGGCTTTAGACCCCATATTACTTTGAACCAAATCCGTTTCAGACAATTTGGAGTCGATTTAAAAAATGACCGTTCGTTTGTCTTGCCAGATTGTGCGCAAGATAACTCTCGAAGGGAGTAACCGTTTCCATCTAAACTTTGCACAGCGTAATATTTCTTTTAAACTTATTTCAAGTTCGATGATGGAAATATTGGTCTACTCCTACTGGTATATGCCCCACAAAATGGTCAACATTTTGCTAAAAATGTATTTTATAATATCATGCGATCCGAAGATCAATGACTTCTAATAGAATTCCAAAAAACTTTTTCTAGAAGACCTTCTCACACTTACTTACTTAGCTGGCTTGTTACAGGTTGTTCCATAAGCCGAGCTTAAAAAAGATTTCCAAGCGCGACGGTCTTGTGCGCAAATCCACCGATTTGGAAGACCACGTTCCAAGATGTTGTTTTCTACTTGGTCTTTCCATCAAATTCGTGGCCTTCCCCTTCTACGGGAATCATCAGTAGGCTCGTTTTTATATGCCGAGCTGGGGCATTCTCATTCATCCGCACAACATGGCCTAGCCACCGTAGTCGCTGCAGCTCAATACGACTGACTATGTCGATGTCCGCGTATAAATGATAAAGCTCGTGATTCATTCGACGCCGATATTCACCGTCGACGCAGATCGACCAGTAGATCTTTCGGAGAAATTTTCTTTCAAACACTCCAAGAGCTGCCTCATCTGCTTGCGCAAGTACCCATGCTTCTGATCCATAAAATAGCACGGGTAGTATCAGCGTCTTGTAAAGTGTGAGTTTGGTCTGGCGGGAGGTGGCATTGTTTCTAAACAGCTTACTTAGACCATATTAGCATCTGTTGGCCATCACAATCCTTCTCCGAATTTCAAAACTGATGTCATTCGTTTTATTTATGGCAATACCAAAGTCTTTAACTACCTCGAAGATGTAGTTCTCAAGTTCCACAATTGGTCCGACTCTACTGGACGTCAGCTAGGTCTTCTCGCCGTTTATTGCCAGATCCACTTTGGCAGACACCTTTTCAATATGTTCAAAGGTAGCTGTTACCGCTCGTAATGTTCGACCCATTATATCGATGTCATCGGCGTAGGCGAGTAACATGTATTGTTTGGTTACAGAGTGTCATTTCTGTTCATCTTTGCGTCTCGTATGACCTTTTCCAGCAAAAGATCACACGACAAACTATCACCTTGTCTGAATCCTTGTACGGTATGGAAGGGCTCCGATAGGTCCTTTCCTACTTTAACTGCTGATGTTGTGCCACTTAAAGATATCCTGTATAGCCGTATTAATTTTGCAGGAATGCCGAACGTAGACATGGCTTTAAACACCTCTGAACGGATAGGGCTGTCGAATTTGTCGACTATAAAGACAAATAGGTGGTATGTGTCGATGTGTTTTTTTTTTGTGGGTCTTTTCCAGAATTTGGCGCAGAGTGAAAATCTGGTCAATGGTGGATTTGCCAGGTCTGAAGCCGCATTGGTATGGCCATTGGCTTCAATCGTTCTCACAGCACACTGGATAGCACTTTATATGCGATGGGAAGGAGACTTATTCCTCTATAGTTGGCACATATCGTCTTGTCTCCTTCTTTGTGCACGGGACACAGGATGCTGATGTTCCAATCATTGGGCATGCATTCATTTAGCCAAATAGTTGTTTGAATAGTTTGGCTTGTAACCCATCAGCTCCTGCTGCTTTGTTGTTCTTGAGCCGATTAATTGCTTTTATGACCTCATCTTGGCTAGGTGGTATACACTCTATACCATCATCTCTTATTGGTTCTGGGGTATCTTCTTCAACACCACTATTTGATACCAGAAGCTGTTCAAAATGGTCCTTCCAGATCCTCAACACGCTGTCTGTATCTGTCACCAGGTTTCCTTCTTCATCTCTACAGGAGGATGTGCCTGCTCCAAAGCCTTCGGTTTGGTGTTTTACTCGTTGGTAAAATTTCCGGACTTCATTCTGACTTCTGTACATCTCGATTTGCTCACGTCTTCACATAAAAGACTACAACGTATTCTCATAGAAGAGCAAGAGCTCTTCTAATTGAATACCAAGAAGCCTTCTAATTGGAGGCCAAGAAGTCTTCTAATTGGAGACCACAAAGTCTTCATATAGAAGACCAAAAGGCCTTTTCATAGAAGACCAAAAAGTCTTCTCATAGAAGACCAAAAGTTTTTCTAATTGAAGACTAAGGACCAAAAAAGCTTCTCATAGAAGACCAAAAAATCTTCTCATAGAAAACCAAAAGGTCTTCTTTGGTGTTCTATGAGTGGACCTTTAAGTCTTCTATGAGAACACCTTTTGATCTTTTATGAGATCTTTAGAAAATCTAATGATCCACTCATGAAGGTCTACTTTTCTATGAGATATTTTGGTCTTCTCATAGAAGACCTAAAGGTCTACAATATCTATATTGTCTTCTTATAAAATAGCATAGGATATGCTTATAAGGGCTTCGATTTGGTAAATTATTGGAGATTTTGGAGATCTTTTGGCGTTAAATTCCAAGTGTCTGAGTCAAACCCCTTTGAGACAAGTGAGAGTCGATCTGTCTAGCTGGCTGTTATTCTATTAGTTCTAAAATTTGAATTTGTTACTATCGGTGTAATCTCCCCACAAATTGTCACACTTTTGAAAACTGTTTTATTTTTACCCAACCTAATACCTTTTTTAAAATCGAATGGTGGATGCTATTTAAAACATTCATGGTTTACTTGAAACACTGATTTAATGCAAATTTTGGATATATATGTCATTTTTTTTGGTGCCACCCCACGTGACAGGTACGCCACATATACCATATGCAGAGGCTTTTTGTTTGTCGGACTCAACATTTTTTTATACCCTCCACCATAGTATGGAGGGTATATTAGTTTTGTTTTTCCGTTTGTAACGCATCGAAATAATCATTTCGGACCTTATAAAGTATATATATTCTTGATCAGCGTAAAATTCTAAGACGATATAAGCATGTCCGTCTCCGTCTGTCTGTCGTAATCACTCTAACGTATAAACGAATTGAGATAGAGCCCCAAAATTTTGCATAGAGTCTTGACTTGTCTGCAGTGTTTTGTCTGCAGGCAGGTCAAGTTCGAAGATGGGCTAAATCGGTCCACGTTTAGCCATAGCTCCCATATAAGGGTACCGCCAATTTTGCGGTATTTTTGGGGTTTTGATCACATTTTTCGACCCAATTCGCTGAAATTTCGTATTAACATAGGTCCACTTTTTCTGGTAGTCCCCATATAATGCTACCTCCTAATTTTCAGTATTTTGGGGGTTTTGATAGTATTTTTTCACCGAATTAGCTGTAGTTTAGTATTCTGAGTTTTTAATAGGTACCAAATCTCTCCACAAAATATTATGATTATAGGTCCTGCGGAGGATAGCGAGATAAAAAAAATCATAACGTACGGTTCCAGAACGAGTGGACCGATATTCCCCATCTTTGAATTTGAACTAAGTTTGGAAGAAATAATAAAATGGCCAAAGTTTGGATAAAAATTTAAATTTTCTGAAACGGATTTGGTCATTAGCCATAAGCAAAGGGTATAATTATCCATTAGAAAATTCTGAAATTTGTATTATGGTTTACATAATCCCTTTTTAGAAATGTCTGTATATATTAACCCTTTGTGGCCCAATGTTGCCCAAAGGCAACAAAAAGTTTAAGAACTTATATTTATATGTAGCTAGTAGATATATATTCTTTGGATTTCATACGTCAAGACCTGATTATGGACGACACATATTAAAAGAAAAATCTAAAAATTAAAATTTTTGGTAAAGTTATGATCTTTTGAATATAGAGAAGAGGGCAAAAATGTGTACAGTACTAATTTGTGTATACAGTGAATAATATTTAAATCGCTTCGTATTCGAATTGTACGAATTCTGTCATCAGAATTATTTTTGATTCTTGTAAAAAAGAATATAGAGAATAATTTAAAATTATTTCTCCGTCGGCATTTAGTTTTCTTTATATTGGACTTTTATTTTTCAGAAAGAATGTACTGCATATCCCGAATGCAAGGATGTGGCGATGTCAAATTTTGTTCATATCCTATTTAGGATAGTTGCAATAAATCTGTGAACAGAAATTTGTTATTAGATTGCGAAAAAATTCGGTGCACAAAGGGTTAAAGCTTCCTGCGTATATTTCGTTTTACAAGTACCCCAATCATGCTCTCTCTCCCCATAATATGGAATGTTTACAGGTTTTTTTGAGATAAAGCAATTGTTTTGGAACATGTTTTTTCGAATTATGTTTATGATGGATGTTATATTTCAAAATGAGAATGAAAAATAAAATTAAATAAGACACACAAAAAACCTAATAATATTTTAAATAGATGACAACAAATTACTAAATGTAATTAAAAAATACAAATTATATATTTTACAAAAAAAAAAAAAAAAAAATTAATAAAAATAGAAAAAAATATATCACAACTCTCACAAAACTAAAAAAACAACAACAAATCATTGTTCATGCGGCACTGTTTTCTTTAGGTTTTAAAGCAACAACAACAAAACAGCAATTATGAAAAAAATATTTGAAACTAATAGCAATCATTAAACATCCCTCCTATAAAAAAGCAACACAAAATAATAATAAAAAAATCAAAAGCTCACACAGAAAACATACATATCCAAGCAAAACGATTTTTTCGCCTATAATTAATGTACCTTAAATTTGAAAAGTTTTTTCTTTAAATTAAATACAAAAAAAAAAAAAAAACTAGAACAATTATTTTGTTTTTTAATTAACGAAAAAAAACTAACTCATGAATTTA